CTAGCGATAAAAAGCTTCGGTACAATGAAAATTATGAATAATAAAATAGCAATAATCTTCCTTCCCTTCACGATGCCATCTTTGTTGAAGATTTTTTTTATCTCTAGTAAACCCTACAAGCCGCGTCGGGGTGTTTCCGCCATTAACATACCGTCAATGTGGATTTCATAATTACCCTGTAATGTTGTATTATCATGTTAATGTCCGGTCGGTCGGTGCGTTTAGAGGGCACACTCCGTGCACAACTCCCCTATTTACGACGGATAGGAGGATGGGTATAGAAATTGATGAGCGTATGTCCGCATTTGGCTGTACTACCGTAACGGGTTGGAGAAGGATGGAAGAGACCAATGTTAAATGATTTGTTATTAATATGCTCGTGCAAGCCATAACTCTTCGATTATCCGCTTGTTAGTCGCGATATTATTTATGCCTGTCATTAATATCGTGGAATAGTTTCGGGATTTAGAGAACCTGTAAGATGTCTATATCTATAGTACACCAAGTTTTAGTACCACTAATAGCACTAAAATTAGTTCAACCCTATAACATTACACTTGAGTAAGTGCTTCTCGAAAATATTAACATATTTCCTTTTTGAAACAAGAGCGTGAAACGAAAGCCGCTTTCCACCCATCATAACAACAATCCGCTCGAGTTTAAATTGGCATTTTCTCCATTTTGAATGGCACAAGAGAACTTTGAAGGCTCGCGGAGCGGAATAGAAGGCGAAATTTAATAATAAGTCCTCCCTTTGTGGTCGACAAAGGGGAGAAAGAAGAGAAGAGAGCAGTCGAGAAAATCCGAACGAAAGAAGCGGTCGCAGGATTCGTCGCGACTTAAAGAGTTCAAAGCCGACGACGCATGCAGATTTTGACAAATCCTCCGGTTCTAGCCAACCGTGGGCGGTTTCCTAGCAACATGGGGGCAATTGTTCTGACGCAGGTGTCCAATCAATAGCACCTGGAAGTTGACAACGACGCTCTCTCCTGTTTTTCGCGCAAAATAGAATGAGAGAAGAGTAGCACTCTTCTCATCAAAATGAATATATTACGTAATCTATTTTATTTTCAAACATTTAAAAATGATACTAATCTATTTTTTTTATTCACGTATAAAAGCAGACTGCTTGTCGCCTATTCTATTCTTTGAATAAGAAAAGAAACTCCCACGTGGTATTAGCAGTTTTGTTGTTTTCGCTTAAGCACCTATTGTTGGAGTAGGAGGATTTCTGAATGGTATCCTATTGTACTCTTTGTGATATTTAGAAGGGTTTACGAAAATAGATATATTTGGTTATAACAGATGTCTACCTGCAAAAACATCAAAGAAAGGATGCTAAAGAAGTAGACAGCAGCAGTTTAAACGTTTCTTTATTTTTTTGCAAATAATATTAATGAGGTTGCATTTTATTTCTTTCCTTTATTATTAAAAAGATTAAAAAAAGATAGAAATACACAATCTATGTGTGAGAGAGTGAGATAAGGATTTAAAGACTACATTTTGAGTTGTTTATATTTCAAAGTTTCAAAGTGTTCAAATTATTTCATGATAAATGACTTTTAACTGTTTCAGATTAAGATGAGTTGCAGAGCAGAAAAATTAACAACTGTCCACAACAGTTGATTTAACAACAACCACGGTTATCTCGTATTTTGCCTCTTGGCCTTTGACAGACATTTGGAGACAATGAATGGTCATTGAACTAAAGCGGAGATGATACAATCATACGTACTCATACGTTTTTCAATAGCTTGCCCAAAATGGAATCTCACTACTTCAGACCAAATATCACCAATTATAGTTGGAATCTATTTAACATAACAGTCAGTTAGAGATTTGGGATTACAAAAAATGTTCAAAGAATGGAGATGTAGAAATCAAAACAACTTCGATAAACTTTTATTTGAAGAGCAGAATCTCCAGTTCAGTCCTATGTTTGCCTAATTAAAAAACTCTTTCTGAAAGGGACTATTTAAAACATCAGGAAGCTGCTAGGGAACACAAACTATGTGTTCACATCTTTACACTTTAAAATATGAAATTAGGAAGGATTTTGACCACATGGCATGAGGTTGAGGGAGATTCTCAAATTCTAAATCACCTATATTTAGAATTTGCGAGTATTATTTGTAATTTCATTTTTAATCAGAAAATTGAAGTTGAAGAAGAAATTATCCTTGACTACGACAACTGCGGCTACCAAATTAAAAACTCAAGTTTATCTAACGCACTTTTGAATTAAGCGGATTAAAAGAACATTATGTAGAAATACGCAAGCCATTCGCAAGTGAACGTGAATAGTATGCACGGGTGTTGTGAAAAGATACTCAAAACTCGTGCAACCAACATTTCTGATGAATGTGATGTCCACTGCCGGAAAACCAAATCAATAACTTCGTTTCTATTAGTCTTGCAACTTTGTATTTCAAGTGGTATCTATTCTAAAACATAGTCAAGAAGTATGTATTCATTGCTAACACTTAGGTTGCATTAACCAACTTAAGGATTTCTGAATGGCAGAATTGAGTTTGGCATTTGAAAAACGAAATTTCTTAAAATCTTTGTTCTTATATTACATGTAATCTTGATTATGTCATTTATTAAAATCATTATATTGTATGATACGTTACTGATACAATGTATGCTAAGATCACCTATTAGTACCATTCTCTCATTTACTCTTAATCTATAGATTCGTCAATGTCCAATTTCTTTATGGCCGCCTTCACTTCGCACAAATGCTGATTGTCATTTTATGTCTGCTGACAAGATCAATTTATATCGTACAGTAACCCTCACTAATTATTTCAAAGTCATCAATAATTGTTGTAAGATTCGTCTTTTAACATATTTGCCATTATAAAAACAGAAAATGAAAAAATATTATTTATGATAGCATGGCACAAACACTGAAACTATGCCGACGGTAAAAAATGTAACTGCTCCAGACGAATAGGAACTTATTCATATAAAATAAAGATTTATTTTCGCACAATTTTGAATGCATTTTCATCTCATAGATCCCACTTATGAATTTGAGCTCTAATGTTCTTCATCACTTCTCCTAGTTCTCTTCATTTTGGTTCTTCCCTGCAATTATTAAGTAAATATTGTATACTAAGGTGTAAGTGAAGGTACCTTTTATTGGTTTTTAGGTTTTAGTACGTTGTCCACAAGAGATTATTTAACGCGGGAACATTTTCAAACTTTCTCTACTCATTATATCGAGATGATATAAAACATGAGTCACTCCTCCAGCTTCTTGGCTGGTTGCAAAAAATACAACAGATATTTGTAAGTCAAAGTTGCTCTTTTATACTTAGACATCGTTTACAACTTAGTGCAGTTTTAGACATTTTTTCTTCATCACAGAATTTTCTTCATCATATTTCTGCAGTTTGAACAAAAATAGAGAAACTCTTCAGACTCATTTTCGAGATCTCTAAGTTTAAGTACTTTTGATATGAGAATTGTTAATATTTTATTAATGCAATTAGTTATAATTATAAATTGATATCCTAGGACCAGGCGAGGTTCACCTGACGTCTAAGCCCATAACGTAGATAACCAAGTAAATTATGAATGACATGTGTGATATATTTAGATAATGTAGAGAGTATGTTAACTGTTTTTGTAATCAACCTCATTGTCAATGTCAATTGAAAGTAAAATACTAAATTTTAGCTTCTTTTGGTTTGATTCTATTGCCAAAATTGTTGAATACAATTTCTCTTCGTCATAGCAGCAATTATGCCTTGATCCAGACTAAAAATAAACAGCTCAAATTGAATGCCTTAACATATAACTACACTATTGCCCATTATCAACAGAACTTTTCTGTTTTGCACCGTCATGTTGGGTTAGAACAGAAAATGAGAAAATGAGAAGGCAGAAAATTTTTATTCCTGCCTTCATTCATTCATAGGCACATTCACTTAGTTTCATTCGTTTTGAAACCTGAACACCTCGATCAATCAATTTTTTCTCACTTCAGAAAATGATCCTGACAGTGATGTTATCATTTTTTCCTGCTAATATGGAAATTTATTCCACTTGTTCTGGTTAATAAGTTAGGAGGCAAAACTTTTTGGATGATATAAGTGACTATCATATTTTTATAAATCTTCATATCGATATTTTTGAACGACTGGATGAAGAGGAGGACGATGATGACTTTTCCAAAGATTGAAATGTCAAAGCCGATTACAAAACCAGAATTTCTTTGAAATTATTACCTACATAATTTATCTAACTTATTCTTTTCACAGAATTTATGATTTGCTGTACTCTTATCTTCATGGTAGATAATCCAGTCATAACATTCTTGCATAATCTTTTCCCGTCTATAGTAAGTGCAGCCTTGGTACTAACAGCTTTTGAAAAGCTCGACACCAACATGATATTCAAGCCAAGAGCTCACACCATATAATAATGTGAATCCTCGTTGAGCATTGAAACTGATATGGTAGATAGCTCAAAATAAAAAAATTTCTTTTATGGAAATCTATATTAAAAATTTGTTAACGCCATCTAGCGTTTAAACCACACAACTTTTTATTGAAGTTGAACTAAAGAATATTCCATGGAACCCCTTAAAATCTATCTGTTAATTGGACATGGTTTGTTTGAAAATATGATCATTATTGTACATATATTAGTTTTTTTTCTTAATAATTTAGTTATTTTTGATTCCAAAAAAGAAAAATGGTTTTGAACACCAAAATACAAAAAAATGTGGTTTTCAAAGAAGAAGAGATACCAACACGACCGCCACAAAGAATTCTGGGCACAATTCCAAAACACCTGTATATAAAAGAATAAGAGATAAAAAATTAACATAACAATAGATGGGCGGGTACATTTAACCATTCGAAGCATAACGGCGAAGATAAAGCCGGGGAACCCCGCCTCTGATTTCGATTGGATAGTCTCCCTCATTTCCTTTTGCGCCTGCCCGGTGCTGGTGCGGCATGGAACACGTTCCGTGGGCATAGAAGACCGCGCTCCATAGTGGTGAACACGTATTTTCGCGATTGTTGTTGCCGTTTATTTGCAACAAAGGGGGTAGTATACAATAAATTATTTGCGTTTTTCATCTAAATGTGCTATTAGTGTTCTGGTGCGTATCACACGGGGACATTTGGTTAAAATAATTTTTTTTGTGACCACACGGTAAACGAAACGGCCTCAAAATTGATCTCGATCTACACAGGCAGGCCACAAGTGGCCATTTCATCCGGTGAGTTTTATACTTTTATTAAAAATAATCCACATTTCAAATTTAGTCTTCAAGGTTTCTTTACGAAAATGTTTTTGCAGTTTTGACATCAATTTTTTATGCTTTAATGTTAAACTTGTATCAAACAACTTTTAAACCACGTTGTTTTTATTAAACATATTACTAAGAAAAAAAAATTTATAAAGATAAAATTTATTTAAAGGTGAACAAAATAGATATTTCATTCCCCTTTTGTGAACTGTCCACTCCGGAGTAAAGGACGGTTTATCCCTAAATCCCGGTTGACCAAAAGGGTCCAATTTGCTGACTGTAATTGACTAACAAGATTTACACCCTCGTTTTCACCCCGTCGGATTTATTTTTTTTTCTGATTTCTTTCGAGTACATTCCAAGAAAGTCATCAAAGATCCGATTATCTTTGTAATTATTGTTTGTGGTAAAAAAGTGGGTGGACTGCATGGATGGAAAGCGTTCTGGCACTTTTACCGAAAACAATCTCTTTCTCTCTTTCTACTGGAATAAGAATGGTAGATAATTATGGGGCCGTACGGGATTGAATGGGCATTAATTGTACGATCTGTTGTGCCCGTATCTAGTCGAAGCATTGTTGGTAAAGTTGTATTATTAATAATATCGGCGGCACAATTGTTGATTGTCGGTTTCACAATTTGCATAATGGACTAGGCCCGGATTAGATTGAAAGGTATAATTGCAAAGGAGATTAATTAGAATGACCATAATGGTGTTAGAAGTACTTGTTTGTATTGCTAAGAAGGTTACTTTTTTACTCAACAAGGTGCAGTTAATTTTTTTTAACCTATTTGAGAAATTAAATTGCTTCATCTTAAAAAACATTAAGGTTTATTTTCAGAGGAGTCTATTTTTGGGATGTCATAATTTTATAAACGAAATACTTCAAGTAGAAATCACCTCCTAATATTGAAATGTTTTATAATTTTAAACTACTTCTTTATGCCGTGTTATTAATATCGGGAACACAGTTGTTGATGGAGTCGCTTTCACAATTTAGATAATGAGCCAGGTCTAGATTTAAATTGAAACTTGCAATTATGTGAAGATTAATTAGAATGACCATAATAATGTTGAAGTAAGAAGTTGTCAATTTATGGTTTGGTTTTTATCCACAACCAAAAAATTTACAAGCAATATCACTTAAGAAAGGGCAAACCATTATTATCAATTTACCAATGTTGTCAAAACACTATTAAAAACATTACTAATTTTTTGAAGCTGAAGTTTCATTAATCATCATTCGATCTTATTTAGTACCGGTACTCTCTATATTTAATAGAAAATCTTAAAACGCTATAAACATCAATTTATATATTCTTTTGCGTTTTTTAAGTTCAATTTAAACTTATACAAACACTGCGCAGTACTAATAAATTATACTTATTGATATCTTTTTATTCTTTTATGCGATTTCGATTGTTACATCACTGTTAGGAGATCGTTGAAATACAGAGGAAATATTTGTGTAACCATAAAGTTGGATTTAATTTGTTCTAAATTACAGTGAAGTTACAAAACACAGATGTTTTTAGTTTTTCATCAAGATATATATTTGCGAACAATAATCGCAAAACTTTGCCTTGACAATAAAAATGTTTTTGTTACTGCCAGATGATTTAATTCATATAATTTTTTATTTAGGCACTACTGATTCTAGCAGCCAAAATTACTTGATAAGTTTAGAAACAATAATAGTATATCATTCCTGCAATCGCATTTATAATCGTTATCAAAAGTCTTTAGACTTACTTTTGCTCCTATGGCAAAAATTTATTGATCGTTATTTTCATCTCCACTTTCTTCTTTGTTGTGCATAACTTGTAACACATAACTTGTTCGTTTTTCATCTTCTCACTGAATGGGTTCTTCTATATTAGCAATCTGCTGATATTCTAATCTAACTAACTTTTCTGGATATTTTAAAAACATTGTTATAACTTTGGAATACATCAATCATTAATCTTCTTGCAATCTTCTTTGTAAATAAGTTCTCTCTAGTCATCCTCTGATTGTAGTGGCTGAACCTGGCAAGTGTCCTATAGAACTGTCCTTTATGATAACGTTCCGCATGACAATGCTCTCTGACGCCAGACACATTTAAAGTTCCTTACAATTTGGCCTACATAGTACTGACCACACTTACACAACTTTTCATACCGACAATACGTTTCGTAGCTTGTGAGCCGTTCCATGTTGTGTGTCGCCACACCTACAAATAAAAAGAAAACTGAGGAAGGCAATATTTGTTCGGTTGTAACTTTGATGACTATATTATCTGGTTCTCTGGAAAAAAAGTGAAAGGAAATATTTTGGTGTGGATGGTAAATGAAATTTGTATCATTTTTTGTGTTGGTTAGTGATGAGGTATCGGCTGGTTGTTCTTTTCTTACTCCGGAACGGACGGTGTCATCCTTGTATTGCAGCTATAACTTTTGTGTTCAGAATCTGTTCACTAAAGAGACTTCCTAAAACAGCTCCTCTTATAAATTAGATTAGCAGCAGATTTTTCGTGGTTCCCATAATCGTGATAATGTTTTTTATGTGCACTGGGACAAACAATAAAATCTTTAAGGTATATAGTTTCCTGCAAGGAAAGTCTTTGGCTTGGAATTTTACAAATCATAGTGTAAGTGCTTCCTCGATTTAATTAACTTCCATCTTCCTATCTAGTTCGCTCATGTTGTGTCCTTTATTTCTCCTGAAAATGACTGGTCTAGTAAACTGTTTGTCTTAGCTTCGAATAGCTTTTTATCTCTAAGCACAGAATTATTATCTGTGTCTCCAATTTGTATGAGCATTTCAGTTATTACACTTATGCTTTCCTTTCACCAATTATCACTGTATATTTCGATGGTTTTATTTATAATACTATAGCGATGTTTTGACGAAAAACGACTTTTGCAGCTTCAGCGATAATTTTTGATTTTGAACTTTAGGCTACTATCACCGTTTCTTCTTTATTGATTGAATACTAAATCTGTTGATGTCTCCTGAACTATACTTTCTAGCTTTTTTGGAACTCTCGTACTGCGTTCTGTTTTGCTGTGTTATCCGTTTTGACAAAAGGTGTTTCCACGGTAAATATGGAAATCAAAATTTTGATGATTCTCCCATAGTTTTTCCCACAACTTTTATAAATCTACCAATTAAAAAAAAATAATAAACAATTACTACTAACATTTAATATTATTTTCCAACAATATCAGCAGAGTAAGTATTCTTATAGCACCACTCACTGATGCTTCAACAATGCATAACGGAACACTCTTTTTGTCTTTTCGGTTTCTTTCCAATCTCCATCCATTCTGCTCAATTTTCTTCTTGTCTAGACAATCTCTGTTCAATCTCTTTCGTCCATTACCATGACTCTAATCAGTTCTCTTACCAAACTGTTAATTTTCGCCTAGTTTCCTTTTTGTCTTTCCAGTTTCTTTCTTCTATTACCAATCATTTTCAGTCTCATTCCTTTCTCCTGAGTTTGTTTCTTCTCTTTCTAATTCATTTCTTCCATTAAAAATTTCTTAGTCTTTCGAGGTCCTCCTCAGCTTTCTTTCCAGTCTTTTTCCATTGTCCTCTTCTCAGTGCCCCTTTCATGCCTTAATTAGTGTTTTTCCAGTCTCTTTCTCCTATTTCGTCCCATTTAAGCCTTTCCAGACACTCTGCTTTCTGCTGTATTTAAAAAATAAATATAATCGTTTGATTTCTAGTTTTGATTGTTATATCCAAAATTATGAAAATATAAACTTCTATAACTTCTAAAAGTTGAGGTTGTATTGCTGATTTTAGTCTGCGTTTTGAGGTTGTAACCTAAAAATGTAGACTTATGGAAACTTAAGAGTGTAGATGAAATGCTAAAGCGTTACATAGTATACTTGTGAAAATTCTAAGGATGGCATGTTAATTGCTGGCGCCACTCTGCGTTTACGGTGACTTTTTTTGAATCATGAGCATATAATTTGTTGTGAATTCTGAGAACAATTTTCGAATTTGGTTCTATACTGCACAAATTTATTGCTGCTTCGATACGGGACAACAAGAGGAAGTAGTAATTTACACTGATTGATCATTTAAATCACCAGAATTTACTTTAGATTTTATAAGCAAAACCGGGTATTGATAATATATAATATACATGTATGTATTCCTTTATTGATTAGTATTGTAGAAATAAACATTTAATTTTTTAATATAAACAAATTATTATAGCTGATAGAAATTTTATTTTCTTATATTTTTTTTTAATATTGTATACGGTATTTTACATTTTTCTGTAGGAGCATGGATGGAACAATGCAACACGGATTAATAAGTCCACTGCAGGAGACTTACCACAATTCCGAAGTGTACGTTATCAATTTTTTTCTTTTTTGTTCAATTTATTTTATTATTTGTATTTTGTTTTGTATTTTGTGTTGTATTTACTTATTGTTAGTAGAATTTATTTTAGTTTATAAGTACGAAGGCTTTCATGGCCGGTGTTAATTAAACTAAAACTAGAACTAACACTAGTACTATCACTAGAACTAACACTAGACTTAGAACTAGAAACTTTCGGGTTAAGCCAAGAAGTGTTTCAAACTTATTTCTGAAGAAGGTTGCAACATGGGACATTTTTTCAAAAGACTTAATCGGCAAGTTTCTAGGTCTAGTGTTAGTTCTAGTGATAGTACTAGTGTTAGTTCTAGTTTTAGTTTAATTATTTTAGTTTTTTTTCCAGATTTATTTGTTAATTTATTATTTTATATCCATTAACCAACGTTATTGATTAATATAAAGATACCTCAACTTTCTTTTTTAATATTTTGTAAATTTAAAGCCACGTCATTTTAAAGAAGAATCGTTTTATCCACATTTAAAATTTTCGTTTAATATGTATAAACAACCCGTCAACCAAAAAGATACTGATTCCTCGCGCATTCTGACACATTAAAATCCTTCTTTCGAAAGCCGACGCGAACGTTGTCGTTCGAGAACGGGTTTTTGTACCTGTCCATGGTTGCCGTCGGTAAGTGTAAAGGTCTCGCCGTTTTACATTAGGGCAGCAGAGGAGGTCCGTAAATGTAAATGCGACGACCGACCCTCAACGTCCGTAGACGTTGCTGCTGCTCTTCAGCTTCTGATGGTCGCATTTGCCACACTACGCCCCGCACTTTCCCTTTAAGGCCCACGGTGTTCAGTTATAAACAGACCGTTTTGGCCGGCTTCTGTGGTATCTTGACAACTCTATTACCACCCCTGAGTTATTTGACGTTTGCGAGCTATCTGACGTTTATTACCTCTTTGTATTGTCTACGACTCTACGGTATTAAGTCGTGTACTAGTTCAGTTGAGTAAATTTGAATGCCAAATTATATCGATACTCACAAACGAATTTAAATTTTAAATCATCAACGTAACATTTTAATGATTTAAAAATTATCTTCGGTACTTCTTAGGTTTTTGCATAGGTTCTGGTTAACAATACAAAGAAGTTAATGAATCACGCACCTGGTCACGGTGGTTTTTTACTCAAATTAAATGAACGTCTTGGACAATTTTAATAACGCTCCGGTGAGCGTAAAGCAGATGGTTTCAAAGTCGAAGAAACGAAGTAACAACTATATATGCAAAGTAACCCACCGTTATCATTAAATTCTAATAACTCGTATTTAAATATTCGTTATTTTTTAATTTATAATTACACTTGAACAATTAGACGACAAAGAAATAAACTTCTCACGTCATGAATTATGATAGATTTTAATTAAACTTATGGTAAAAATGTATATTTAATCGATGTATTCAAATTGCTTATCAAGTTTTTACATAATGTATCTTGTGTACGATAAGTAGATTATTAATCCGCAATTGATTAATTGTACAATACACAATTTGTTTTCTGGCAGCAGTATTTAGTCACTCACAACTAGTTTCTAGTCTTCTGGAAGCAATATCTGTCTTTTACATGTAGTTTTAGCCTTTTGCCAATATGATTTAATCTCTTGCCAACAATTTCTAGTACATTGAGAGGAATATCTAGCCTTTTATTGGCAGTATTTATCTTCTGGTCTCAATTTTTAGTCACTCACAAGTAGTTTCTAGTCTACTACAAGCAGTATCTATCTTCTGCAAGTAGTTTTAGCTTTCTGCCAACAGGATTTAGTCTCTTGTAAGCCTTCTATAGGCAGTATTTGTCATCTGCAAGTAGTATTTAGTCGTATCTAGTTTCTAGCTTACTGAAAGCAGTATTTGCTAGTATAATTAGACGACAAATAAATAAATTTCTCACGTTATAAATTATGATAGATTTTAATTAAAATTATGCTAAAAATGCTTATTTAATCGATGTATTCGAATTGCTTATCAAGTTTTTACTTAATGTATCTTATGTACGATAAGTAGGTTATTAATCCGCAATTGATTAATTATGCAATACACGGTCATGTGTGAGTACAATATGAAACATAATATTGAACGGTCAATTTGTTAACTAATGGATCCGTTATTCAAAGATCCTTGAAAACGTTTCTCTCACCATATACTTATCTATTAATAAACGTACTTTCAAGCTAAAGAATAATTGAAATTAATGATGTCGGTGTTTTTCATAGTATAAAGACTTCTAATTACATAAATGCTAACCTTTAAAGAAACAATTATTTTAAAATTAATTAAATGAAACTGCGGTTCTTAATAAAAATTGAGTTAAGTAATGGTCAAAATAATTTATAGCTTATAAATTAATAAATGTGAAGGTGTTTAACCATATAGAAGAATTGAAAAAAAGTTGCCTTTAATAACTATTATCCTCATTGACTAGATAATTGATGTTAATACGTAAATAAATAAAATAAAGAAATGTGAGTCTACCTTCTATTTCTCGTGGATTTGGATCAAACTGAGGAAGAGAATAATTTAATGAGAATGAGAGTTATAGTAATGAATGAGTCATAAGATGAAATATCTTATGATGTGCAATTAGATGTTGAAAGTGATGAGGAAGAGATAGCTGGATTGAGGTTGGTAAAGTTGCGAAACAATTCAATTCAAAACTTACGGTTTCAATCTCAACAATTTCAGCAGTTTAGATGATTTGACGCGGAAGATGTAGAACTTACAACTTTCAATCTAAAAGTTTGTTATAATATGCTGAGAATGGAAAACTACGCATTCATCTAATTTTCATATTTTGGTACACTTCTCGATATTATAGTCAAGTATCATACCCGTCTATAAGTCTATTTGTAAGTCCCAACCCAAGTATTATGAACAGTCTATAAGTCTAGAAAAAAAAGTTTCTTGCAACAGGATTTAATCTCAAGCAAGCAATTTGTAATTCAGAGGAGTATCTAGCTTTCTGTTGGCAGTATTTGTCTTCATAAGCAGCCTTTTGCCAATATGATTTAATCTTTTGTAAACAATTTCTAGTACATTGAGAGAAGTATTTAGCCTTTTGTTGGCAGTATTTACCTTCTGGTTGCAATTTTTAGTCAATCACAAGTAGTTTCTAGTCTACTGCAAGCAGTGTCTATCTTCTGCAAACAGTATTAGTTTTCTGCCAATAGAATTTAGTCTCTTATAAGCAACATTTAGTACATTGCAAGCAGTATTTATTTATTTTTTAATGTTCTAACAACCTATATGTATATGCCAACATATTTACTTTTTCTTTCTTTTCTAAAAACGTCGAATTCAAATATGCGACTTAAACAATATTTTCAGTAAACGAACCTCAAATTACTCACATTAATGTTATAGATGCTTAATTATTTCCCATACTTTTACGACTCACTATTATATAAACTGTTTCTATAAAATATCTATTAAATTCTCCTTTTCAATTAAATTCACCTTAATGCTACTACAAAGAGTAGCTTGAGCTATTTCAATCCCGTTGGAATACCAACTTTGAAATACCAACCGAACGCAAACGTCCAACATTCCAAACATTTTCATTAAACTCTCATTTTCCGTTACTTCTTCGACAATAAACAACGATGAATACCCAAAATGAATAACGAAAATGAATCGGCGTTTAAGGTAGGTATTCGTTCGACCATCAGAATTCTTCGCATCCCATTCAACACTCCGACCTTAATTATGCAACTGTAATTGGCCGGATTGACGGTCCGAAAAATTAGCGATGCTGTGCGTCCTCCTTGATGCCGCCTTCTTCATCTTCATTTTCTTCTCGTTCTCGTTTCGCAAAGTGTTCCGTGGGAACGTTGGGATTCCCGGTGAATCCGTTCCTCTTAAGATATTTACCGCGTCGAGAACGTCAAGAGATGGGGCCAATAATGTCGACACTTTCACGCGAAGTCCCTAATTGCTACTTCGAAGGAAGTTGCGTAATTACTCCTTTTGCAAACGACGTTCGTAGACTTGTTTTTGATATTAATGGATGTAATGGCATGTTACACGATTTACTTAGTTGGGTAGTTCGGAAGCTGTGTAAATAGTTTTATTTAAATCTTAAAAATGTATTTTCAGAGAGAGTATTTTTGGGATCGTTTATTATTTGAGTGTGCAATTTTTAATAATAATAAATGATGTTTGTTATAGATCCGTTGGTCCCATGTGCGACGGCGGATTTAGCGCAGCCGAGGGATTGTCAAGGATGGCATCTCTCGGCGGAGCAGCCCTTGGGGTACCCCAAGGACTCTCAAATTCGGTACAGGCGACGAAGAAGCAAGAGGATCACATAAAACGACCTATGAATGCTTTTATGGTGTGGTCGCGATTGCAACGGCGTAAAATCGCTCAAGAAAATCCGAAGATGCACAATTCAGAAATTTCGAAACGTCTGGGTAAGTTTTATTATTATTATTACCCACCAATTTTAGAGTAATTACAACTAAAAAAGAACACATCCCCATATAATTTCTCTTCATCCTTTTTGGAGGTTTTTATTTGATCTTGTTTTGTAATGTACGCGAGCCAGGAGTCAGATCGACACAATAACTCCATTCCTCCATCCTGAGACTCTTTGAATAGATCCGAATGGACTGTGCAGCGGCAGATCCGGTTAACAAAGCGTCCTGTGCCATTGTTGGCATCGTCGACTGTTCGGCCAAAAATGCCTTGTAGCTTTGCTACCGGTCAAAACGAGAACGAACACGTAGGTAGTAGTAGACGGTCATCCAAAAAGCTTGCCGTATATAATCAAAACACTTCAAAAAAAAAAGGTTGAAATATAAAATGAAATAAAAGTCCAGCTGTGCACTGTCACTTGTCGATCATACACTCACGAATATGAATAATACATAGGAATATAAGGGACGACGCGTTCTGTATAAACATTGGAGTACAATACAACGTATCATACGGTGGTGCTTTCGTGTTGCGCCCGTTTAAGGGGTGGGCCAAATATATGAAAATGTTGACGTTTAAGGGATACTTGCGAACGGGGCCACCCTTTTCATATGCAAAGCTGGAACGCATTATGAGCTACTTGGGGGTTCTATAATGAGGTTATAGTGGGGGCAATTCGTTTTTGATAATGTATATTGTACAAAATGTATCATGTTTTTTTTTTATTCTCTTTATATAACCTTTTCATTCCCCGTTATTTATTGGTGGCACTGACAGTGAATGTGTTAATTCTATTTCATATGCGCAATTCGTTCGGGGTCGAAGAAATCATTAGTAAGAAATCGTAGTTATTGTAGATTTGAGATTCCACTCTCCACTCTATCGTATAAGAAAAATTTTAAATTGTTCCCTCCAGCATTGACCAACATTTTTCGTAGCGACGGGTATAAAATAGTTGTTATTGATCCTACTAGTGGGCGAAGGTCGACCCGCCATTGCATATTTTAATGAAATGGAACGGATAATTAGCAGTCTATTGATTAGCGAAGGAGAGTTTTGTCCGGTGCAATACACAAATGTCACTACCAACAACGCTAAGTATAATTGGCATTCGTATTGGTTTGATTATGCAAAACGAAATAGAAGTCGTCGACGTGCTATTTGGTCAATTTATGCAACGCAATCGTCATCACGAGCGTTATAGTACTCGGGCTTCAAAACGTTTATTCGCATCTGAAACGATATTACATAACACCCTGTTTGTATTTCTCTTTCTAAGAAATCGTTTCGAAATTGGGTTCAAATCTTATAAAAGCGACAACGGTGACAATATTTTCCATAAACGGCTACGTGTCTATTCTCGTTATAACTAACACTTAGCGATGATTAATGCCTATTTATACTTAATTCTTCGTTTGTTAAGATAACCCGCTAACAAGAATTGACATTGCGTTTATAACACACCATGACCGAATATTTTTTGTTTGCCAATGTATTTTGTAAGTACATATTTCCGAGCGGACGTTAATCACTTATGAAAACCAGTTCGTTATCGAGATATTTGATGGAGGTAGCTTTACCCAAAAAAAAAACCAAAATGGAAGAAAAAATCATAAAAAAATTAATGACGATTCAGGTATTTTAAGTTGATGGAAAAGGAATTCATTTGTAACGTAAATTACCCTTTTCAAAGTGATAAATGTTGCAGTGGTATTTGTAAGTATGTAAATAGACAAATTTTACGATTTGTTTAAAAACAAATTGATTGTTTGTAATTTACGTAAGTGTTGGAATACAAAAGTGATTGGAATGACAGTGTAATTAATATTGTTTCGCAAATTGTTTGTTGTTATTTGTATAATTACTACATCTTGTTTTTAAAACTTTGCATAACAATTTAATATTTTTATAATTTCATATCGCATAGACTTGTTTTTAAAACAGCATGTAGAATTAATTAGTTTTAATCATACATGTGTGTTGTAAATTTATTACTTTGATAACATTCTTGCAAATACTTATTGACTCAAAAATTTATATAAAGCTAACGATCAGTACTTTGCCCACTTTGGTTGTCGAAAAAATACGACCCAATTAACCCGAAATCCACATCACAGTTATTCGGTTACTGTTAGTTTAGTTATAGATTTTGCATTACCCAACTATTGACAGTTCTGGTTATTGATAACCCGTCAAGTTGAAAATTCGCTCAATCACTAAAGATGATTTCCTTCGAAAAATCCTTGATTTGTTGATGTTGTATCCAATTGCTGATTGCGCATGACCTGTTGGGTTGACATGTTATCTCAGTTGAATCTTGTAAGCGTGGATATGCAGATCTAAGATTAAATTACGTTGTACAACATTTTTAAGATGTCCCTTTTGACCTTCTCTAACATGTTGAACAAAACCTATAGTCCAAAATTTCTTGATTAAATTTACCACAGCTTTCTGAGATGAAAATGAGAAAATATGCAACAATGTGTGAATTTTCAGTTTGCTACTTTCAAATTACAACATTCTATGTTGAACATCAAGCAAACTTCTAGTCTCTATTTGGAATTATATCCATTACAAAACTTGCATTATAACGCTATAATTAATTTAATTAATTATTCAACAATGTTCTATTCTGGGTTGTTAATGAAGAATTTATTATTTAATTTATTATTATTTATTAGATGACATTGCAAAATTGAGCAGCATAAATAATACTAAGAATTTTACAAGTTACTCCATTTTGGTATAGATGCGAATCTATCAAATGCAACAAATATGCTAAACGTTTCCTTAGAAGCAACAAAAAAGGACAGAAGAAAAGATTATGGTCAAATTGAGGAGCTTTATAAAGCAGCAAAGGTTCCAAAAATGATTCTGAGTTGTCGAACATCGAAAATTTTTGAAAATTACGAAATCTGTAACATAACACACTTTATGACCCAATATGAGTCATATAAGCTTTGATCTGGTATAATGCAATAAATAATTGAGTTTATTAAGAAATGTTCCATTTGTGAAGGATGCGCGATTAGAATATTATATACTATATTATATTGCTTGACACTAACGCGACTGGAGAATGCCTTATCCATTATTTTTTTGACATTGCCAAATTTGTAGTACAGTACAAATTCAGGAAATAAAAATAAAAATTTTAAAAAGGCAAAATTTTGAATTCTGAATCTGAGGAAATAATTATTTTTGTCAATGCCAAATTCTAATTTTATCCACTCCTTATGTTCCATAGGTCATTCTGCACTGTTTAGAAACAAAAAATTAAAAACAGAAATAATGTTGCGAATTTGGAAGCTGGGCAGTTTGACCTCCTTCAATTTATATCTCCATACTCTTCTACTTCCTGCTTTTCTCTTTCAATTCCTGCATCCTAGCATTCCTTTTGCATCAATATCAACCGCCTCTTTTCATCTATTCCGTGGCCTTCATTTCGGCCTTACTCCTTGCATTTTTCTGTTTATTAGCATTTCAGGACGTCTATCTTCTTTTATCCTAGGAAAATGATCATTGTAGTGTCTGGATTCTGATGTAATTGGATAGGTCATGTTCCTTGACGTTGTGGTATAATTCACAATTGCATATATGTATCGTTTGTTAGTTTTTGAATTAAAATCCACGTTTTTTTTTCATGTCTTTGATGAAGGAGGCTTGGGATTTTGGATAGATAAGTAATAGTCTTAACTTTCACCAAGGCTGTTGCTAGAAGACCTTCATTTTCTAGTCCACTTGATGCAATCTTTTTCACTCTTTATATTTTGGTTAAACATTTTTTATAGATTTAATGTTTTGATTGGTCTACTTGTTCCCACCTCTACGAAGCAACGTATGGGTTTATTGCAGATGCGACATTTTGACGTTGATTTGCACTTGCTGCTTTAGTCGTGAGACGAGCAATCTTAGCACAATTTTTTATCTTTAATATACTCTGTCCTTTTCGGAACTATGAGTCTTGAATTTGACTTTCTTCAATTTCATGTAGTAGTGTTCTACATGGTTTTACTTACAATATCAACAATTAATCTTATTATTCTTATTGTTAGCTTTTTTTGCTGCGTTGGATTGTTTCACTTTCTTGGTTCAATGGTTGCTTCTAGTGTTTGGAATTGAGTTCCGAAAAGAGTTCTTATTTAGTACTTTCAATAGCTTGTTCGTCTCATAAAAACCTTGAATACGTTCAAGGTTTTTTATGGATCACATTACAAAACTGACCAACATAAATAATACTAAGAATTTACAAGTTAGTCCATTTTGTAATGCAGTAGAAGTCCCAAAAATGTGTAATAGACTTTTTACAATATATCTAGAGTAATTACAGCAAGGTAAAAAATAGTGAATTAGAAACTACTGAAATAACACAGCACTTGTGAGTAAAACATGTCAAGATGACGGAATTGTTACTACCATAAGATTCTCAAATTCAACTATATCGAAACAAAAATCGGAAAATTTGTTGTCTACGAAGTGGTTTCTAATAACGAATCAATAAACTTTGCGAAATGTTTCAAAACTACACCTTTTTTTCTAAACGCCGAAAAGTTCCAAAAGTTGTAAATTGTATGCAGTTCGTTAAATATATCGCAGAAACAAGCTAGATTCAGCAAACTGAAAAGTATCTAAGTAGCTTGGTTACACGAGATAAGATGTTGCGACTTGATAGGTATCGTGAAATGTAGTATGACTGTGCGTTCATTTCCAAAATCCCTATAGTTGCAACGTTCAAGACACGTTCTAAAGGCATGTAAAATGCAATGCTTAGCTGTGAATAAACACGATCGAGCTCCGTCAGTATAGTGATGATTTTGCCAAATTGATCAACGTTGCTTCTTGTATTGCTGAAAATATTTCTCAGTAAGTCTTATAACTTACTGAATCAAGATGATTCAGTCCATAACTCTCGGATATTTGTTTTACATGGAATGTCCTCTAAGAAACCTGAGGAAGTGTTCTCGCATAAATTACTGTAGGAGAGAATGGGGTGTGA